TTTTAAAAAAAATACATTTTGCTAAATTAGTTTTCCATTTACAAGTATTCTTCTTCCATTATTTATATTTTATATGATATGTAAACAAGATTCTTTTACAAGGACATGTTTTGTATTTTAGGAGTGTTTTATTTTTGCTGCATTATTTTTTTTTCTAAATTTTCTAGTTAAGCACTCCCACAGGACCAATGGTACCTAAGGGAGGTGTGTTACACAAATTGCTGGCAAAAGCTTAATGAGCATTGAAGGGAACAGTCCGAATGATAACTTATGACATCATTGGATAAATTTGGCTAATTTATTTCAACCAGAGGGCAAATATTATTCAAGTCTGTGTAGAGATTTATTTCAAGAAAAAAAATACCATGGTTCATTTCAATAATCACTAAAAGTAATATGGGTAAATACATTTTCACCCGTGACACAGTCTGGGTCCAAACCATATCCCATCCATCAAGTGACTATTAATGGACGTCTTGAAATTTTTAGTGCTGAGGTGTCCAAATTGTCCCTTTCCCTTATATTTTTGTTTAAATGTCCTTTTTTTCTTCGTCTAGGAAATGCCATAGTTGGATTCATCAAGGAGGAACCTTTTTCTCATTTATTTAAAGGTTAAATTTAAATTTTTAGTGGGTATAAAATGACATGTCAATGCCATCTAAGATTTTAAAAGCCATGTCATCCCTGAGTCATTAAAACAGCCAAATCAACCATTCTCATGTTTTAGGGCCAAAATAGTAGTTTCACTCTCAAAGTATCTTATGTCAACGTTGATGTAATCATGACATAAACCTTAAAGACGGGTGGTATGAAATGTTCAAGGAGTAAAGGACAGATATGCCAGTGAAAAAAGAAAGTTAAGGGGTTGATAATCCAGAACGGCGTAAGTTGAGGTGCTGATTTGCACCTTCATTCTTATTAATATATGTTTGTACTTTAAAAGTCATTAGGTTGAGTTTGATGAAATTATTATTGTGTTATCATAAATGTTTTGTGCAGTACAGACAGTTCCAGACTGCACAAAACTGACAATCTGACAGAGCAGGCCCTCCGGACTTGATGGTACTTATTTTACAATCCGGTGTAGTCCAATCTACAAAATCGCTAACTCTTGAGTATATTGGAGAACTTTTTGATATATTGGTTGCTTGATCTCACTTACTTTTCTCTCTCTCTGGTCACTACAGCAATTCAAATAACTATTCACAGCTGTACTAAAACTGGCTGTCAAGTACTGTTCAACCCAAATGAATGCCACAAAGCAAATAATTCACCCTAAATCCCTAAATTCTTTTGGACATAAAAATAAGAATCCCATATTTTGTAGTCTGACCACAGAAACCATTGGATGGGGGCCACAACCTCCAACCCCATCCAATGGTTATTGTTGTGGAGTCCGTTGCAATATGGACTGCACAACACATTCTTGTCCAAATAAACTCCAATATACTACCTCTATTTTTAAACCCTAATCCCACCCCAAGAGCTAGTACAAGTGTTTCTTCATATCTGTCTTGCATCATTAAGACTAACTTTGCATTTGAGTAACAGACAGTATAGGAATTTTCATAAGATCAAAGAATTTATTGTATATGCTGTTGGTGTTTGTGTGCATGCAATACAGGGTTTTGGTTTAAAGTTGGGATTTTTTTTTTATCATAAAACAACATAAAGGGCATTTTGGCCACCATTCCGTAGGGAATAAAGTTGGCATTTTAATGTTGCAATCAATTACTGAATTCGGGAATATTACCTGATAGCCACTGGGTTTTGGATTAACTATGTAATCATCAAACTGACCATCAATAGGGGTCCAAAGCCTGCAAAGAAATAGGGACAATGTGACTCAATAAATGGCCAATATGTATTTTCTCATTAAGAAAAAATACCACACTATTATAACTGGATGTTTCTGTATGATATATGAGATTAAAGCAACAAAGTAACAGAAACACTTATCTATTTCATTTCTTCTACCCAACAAAAGGTTACAGCCAAAAGCAACAAAGGGAAAATTGCTTCAACCATGTGCAACAGTGAAATTAATGAGATATAATTCCACCCTAGTGAGGCTAAGCAAAAAACATACAAAATTATAACATTTTGACATGCCTGTGAACAATGTTTAGAAGGCTGTAGCAACATTGAACTGCAGGTCCATGCAAGGTTCCGTTGTTGTCTCCTACAACTACCCTTAGTGCACGGGCATCATATATTTTATCAATGCCAACATCTTTCCTTTTCATCTACAACATAAAATATCAAAATTCATAATAACAACAAAAGTGAACTTAAACTTAATAAGGGCATTCTATAAAAAATAATAATAATAATAATAATAATGAAAAAAAAAAGGCAGTGGAGGTTAGACTAATTCTGCAGACATTGATTAACTAGAACCAGATACATTAAATAGTTGGAACATAACAATAATTTCCAAATTAATGCATAAGAGGCAGCATTAGTGTTGCAAAAATTGGGTCTATCCCCTTTCCAGGGATAAATTTAATTTAAATTAAAAATGTTTATCTTTGATAATTAGATTAAATTTGAAATAAAAGGCAATCTTAAAATTGTTGCCCATGTTGTTAAACAGGAATAAGTGTTGTTTGAGTCTTTTGCATGAAAGTTTAGGTAACGCTTTTTTTTTTCTATAGAAAATAGTGAATTTCATTAGTTGATTAAAGTGTAACTTATATGAAGGAGTGCAGTTCGTTCAATAAATTCCTATCTCTAAGGAGTGTGGTACTAATCACGAATCTTCCTTCACTGTTAAGGGTTTCACAAAGATCCTAGGTAAGTTGAAAGATGAAAATTTTTTATTTTTGCTTCAGCTGCAGTCTCTTAAACCCAACACTAGCAGCAAAAAAAAAGCACAAACTGACCCTACCCTTTGTGTCCTGACATTAGGAGAAAGGCAAGGGGCAAAAGTGACTATTGGGTAGGAGTATTAATTATTTTAATTAAGATAACGCTTTTATATAACGTGTAAATGATGATAGAACAATTTTTTTATCAAATGAAATTAATCAACATGATGTATATAATTAAACAAAAAAAAATGAATTATTATTCAAATGCTATATAGGAGCATTACGCACACATTTTTGAAACAGGAATAACACACAATAAAAAAACTACAACATAAATTTTTCTAATATTTTTTTTCCATTTTTTACGATATTTTCTTTTATTTTCCTCTTTTTAAAAAAAAAAGAAGAGAAAAAAAGGGAGAAAACACCTAGGCAACAGCACTTGAGCACCCTAGGGCTACTAACACCTTTTGAAATATGGGGTAGCACAAGCACTAAATAGTTGGAACTAAGAAATATATGCCTAAACAATGCACACTCTTTACCAATAACTGCAACCATATCATTTCACGATTGAAAAGGTGAAACCTCTTTTGGACCAAAGTCCATGTGCCCTCAAAAACTTAACTTCAAGTTGTTAGTAGTCTCCACACTTATATACCTCACAAAAGGCAAACAATGTAGAAGTTAATACAATCTACTAGCTGTATTACTTCAATCAAACCAAGAAATTAAAATACCTTGCTGTAAATACTGTACAAGCTTTTTAATCGGCTAGACAGAGTAACTTCCATCCCTGGAACATATCTGCAAAACATCAGAGAAAAAAACTATGAGAGACTGCTCATTAGACATGATCACTCTGACGATAGACATAAATGGAAAATAAAGCAAATAAATAGAATCTAAAAATTTTATAAGAAACAACTAGAAGCAAAGATGGAGAGGCAAAACATACGAAGTTGATATAAATAACTCTTGCTCAAGTGCCTTCTCACAAGTTACAAGAGATGCCAAAGCAATTTCAGTATACTCCACAATCTTTGATTTTGGTTCAACCTCAGAATTCTTTCGAAGATTTTTAAGAAAATCAGTCTGTTTTCGTCGATCCAACAAGATGTCAAAAGGTACCACTGCTTCCAAAAGATCCTGAGTATAAAAATGATCAGATACAATGTCTCAAAAAATGGTTTCACCTCCCCCTAGTCTAGCATGCTTGCAGGCATTCAGGGAAAAAGGCACAGCTATATACATTGCCACAAAATTATCTTGATATGTGAAATGAAATTAAGGACTCTAGTTCTCATTTTAAATAGCAGTTTCTCTAAATTAATCTAATGCCATATTGTGTTGCAAAATAGGCAGTGTGGGATCCCATCGAATGTGCCTTGGAATCCCACAAGTTTCATGATGCAAAATAGCAAGAAAGAATGTCTTTCTCTAAAACTCAGCTATAGAATGGAACATGGGAAATCATGGTAGGTTTCAAAGTAGCTTGTCAATACAGCTTAGTGAAAGAAAGGATCTCTTCGAACATTCTTTTTATTGCAAAATCACAAAAAAAAAAACTTACAAGGATAATGTGCACAGAATGAAACTAATTACAAAGTCACTATTAAATGGAATTCAACATGCCTAGGCTAGGTAGGAAGGAAAGCATTTTGCAGGCAAGCCCTATGCTAAATGCAGTGAAAATTGTCTTTTGCCAAAAGCAATTGAAGCGAATTCTGAATCTTTTACAGGCCAATGGTCATATAAGGGATTAGAAATCAAAAACTTCAAGATAATGTGGGTGCTTAAACAATCCAGCATATTTGCTGATTTTATAAGAATTCAAATGTACAGAAGATGAAGAACAAAAAGTCATTTTGTATTCAAAACGAATACTAAAACCAGTGTCATAAATGACCCAGATATCTGTCATTCATTTCTTTTCTGATTTTCCCATGTTTTTCAGTAAAAGTTTTTAATGTCTATAACTCAATAGCAAGTCATGAACACTAGTAAAACTATAACAGATTTTAAGGGTATACAGAGTATAAGCCTATAGAAGCAGAAAAGTTTCTGTCCAAGATGCTTACTTTAATGCTAATGATATCTTCATCACTTGTGGAGCTTTCATCATCAAAAGTTGAATTGTTTTCATCTTCAGAGAAACTACTGTCCTTTGCAAATATTCTTCTAGGACATCCTACTCTATTGCCAGGACTCCACATTGAAGCCAGATTAGCCCGCAACTTTGTAAAAGTTTGAGGCTGAGAAAAACAATTAATTTGTCAAATTCTTATGTTCAAGCAATCACTCATATAAAAGTTTGATGTCACAAAACCGATGCTAGAATGAAAATTAGCATAGAACTATGCCACAGATCCTACAGATTTTAACTAGTTATTTTTTGATAAGTGAAATCTCATCAACAATCTTTAACAATTCATGATACAACAGTGGCAAAATCAATGCCAGTTTGGTTCCAGAAGGGGGTTGTGGTCAGGTACAAGGTACTGCTCCGCCTTCATTGACCACCAGAAGGAGAATAAAAAGATTATACAGCATATGGCAATCAAGAACTTTTCTTCAAGTGTATCATGCAGATATGCTAAATTCCTTCAAACAAAAACATCATGCCAAAAATGAACAACAGCACGATCTCTAATCTCAAGAAAAATATAATAAGAGAAGACATCCAATCCACATCTACTGTTTTCCGGTAATTGAGAAGTACAACTCCATTCCTCCCTATCCTTCAAGTTTAAAATGATAAAACTTTCAGCTGAGGTTAAAAAAAAAAAAAAAGAAAAGAAAAACTTCCCAAAAAGCTGTCCATCATAAAAGCATAGCGTTGTAAGTACATCACCAAGAAATTCTAGTAAAATGAACTAACACTCATGCTGCAGTAATCAAGAATAAACCAGTGTCCAATCACCTAATATGTATTTAAAATTTTAAATTCATCGAACATAACTGCCCTTATAGTGTTTCTGTTTAACCTACCTGATCTTCTTGACCAGAAACAAAAGGAGAAAGGAACATAGAATAAGAAAACTAGTATAAGTAGTCTAGAGAGCAAAAGTAATTCTCTTTTTAGATATGTATAAATTCTGACATCCTGCAAGTTTCTTATGTCACCTCATTAATTCCATTCCATAATTTTGTTTTTATAAGGAAAATCAAAATGAGACTCAGTATCTTAGTCAAACAGAACGAATGTACAAAATAATATGAAGAATATTGTTAAGAGAATACAGACAAGGGAAAAAAACAATAGTAGGATACAAATCGATAGGTAGTAGGTTCAAGGTTTGTCCAATTATCATCTCCAATTCAAATCCAAGCAAACAGATTCAAAACTTTCGTATAGAAAGCATGGGACACATGCCCTATTGGGTTATCCGGTGTTTTGGGATTAGTGCACATAAAGACATGAGGTTTTAGAATGTGTATATAAAATGCTTGAGGTTTCAGGCGCCATAACCACCTGAGATTACATGAAATGTCCTAAATACATGTATGTTATTTCCTTTCAATCTTTTAAAGTATGGGCCTTTGAGACATTTCAAGAAATTTCAAGTGGTTATTTCCACAGTGCTCAGGTGTTTATGTGCACATGGATGAAAGATCTAGAGGATTTTTTTTTGGCCAGTAAAACAGATCTAGAGGAGAAAGGATAAATAAATAAATTAAAAGAAAAAATAACGCAAAAGGCTTCCTTCTTCCCTTGCCCTCCCCTCCCCTCCCCTCCAATTTTTTTATAACCAAATAGAGGAATTTTTGCCCCTCCTCTCTTCTCCCCTTCCCTCCATTCCCCTCAACCTAAACATACTGTCAAATTTGTGTTATTTGCTAACTATGATATTTTACTCTAATTTGATTTGCTTATATTATTTACTAATGGATGTCTTGCTTCTTTACTGACTTTGAAGATATTAAATTAACTTATGCACTAATGACACTGATGTTGATCTATATCAATTTTTTTGGTCAAATATGGAAGTATTTAATATAACTTTGCTTTTTCATTTAAATTATCATGTTTAATGTTTTTTAAAAAAAAAAATTGAAGTATAATAAAAATTAGTTATAGTTAGTATAACAAAAAATAAGGAAAAAGAAAAAACATTGACACAAACACATGCTGTTTTTTCATTCTTTGAAAATCGTTTTCTTTATTTACCGAACACATTCTCAACAATTACTGCTTTTGGGAGATGAAAAATGAAAAATGAAAAATGTTTTCTCCAACCAAAGGCACATATTTACTTACAAATTATTTTCAGCTTCTGTCAATGAAAATCTCATTCATTACCTGAAGAACAGCAAAACATAGATCTTCCAGTTCAGCTTTGAGGGCCCACAGACCCAGTCTGGAAGCAAGGGAGCACCAAATCAGCAGCGTCTCTTGTGCAACAGCTTGAGCCTTTTCCAATGGCAGAGCATAACTGTAGAAAATATCAACTATAAGTACCATTGACTGGCTAATATTTTAAACATTGAAGTTGACTCAACCATGAATTTTAAATAAAACATTCAAAATTAATCCATGAATCTTTTACCTCCACAGGCGAAGTAGCATGAACACTTTTAAAAAAAATCCAACAAAGGAGTAGTTTAAAAAGGAGATTCTTGCACTGGTTTTTTTTTTTTAAGCCACAGATTTTTGTACGGATTTTTTTTTTTTTTTTTGGCCACAGATTCTTGTAAGGTTTAAAACCTCAAAAACATTAATAAAATAAATAAATCAAGCATTTTCTCCGTTCAACAAATTAGTTAAGAGGAAAACTATGAAGAACTCCATTTTTTAACAAGCAAAGAGAAATATAACATATCTACATTCAGAATTATTATTACATGGTTCTCATATTGTGAAGACGATCTGCTAGCTTGATAAGGACCATGCGTGGATCGTCAACCATGCCCAACAGCATGACCTGCAAATTATTTGCCTAAGAACACTAAAAATGTGAGTACGGGAATTAGAAAGCAACTGCTGCTAAGACCCCAACATGAGAAATCTCAATAAATATACACTTATTCTACATCTAAAAGCTTAATCTCTCTATCAAAATATTTTTTTCTCCTCTCTTGTTAGACAAACCATCTGGAGCTTTTAGCATTCAATTAATTTCCTATGCACTGCAATTTTCCCATCTCATATGCACCAGGCAATCATTGGGGAAAATAAAACATTGAGGCTAGCCCCAAGAGAAAGTAGGATGTTTGGACCATAGAACTTCTTCACTTTCCCTTATGCAAAGAGATCAAAGTTGTTTACAACCGTTATAATAAATAACATCTCCCATGACTAATAGTCAACATTTATTGTATTTTTCCCCCAAAATTCCATCTTCTTTTAAAAAATAAACACCATTAGACCCGGTAATATTAAACACAAAAGCAATTAAGTTTAAGTTTAAATACATCTAAAATAATAGAGTTGAAATTATTGTAGGAAAACTTATACTTTTAAATGCAAAACAATGATGTTTAAAGCTTAACAGCATTTTAATTGATGGACCTGGAATCATAATAGCAAAGAAATGATTTGCGTCATCGTGGAGCTCTAATGTAGAAACAAGAATAATTAGAGGCAGAGGTGAGAAAAGAGTAATAGAATCAAAAGAAGCAAGGAAGAGGAGAGAACTGTAGAATTAAGGATTTTTAGAAGACAACTCAATCCTTATTCAAAACTGAATAACCTAAAGCTTATATAGAAAAGCTAAAACCATAATAAAACTAAAATCCCTAGTAAACTCCTTATAGGAATATTTATTTAAAAGATATAAAATATCTAGTAATATAAAGAAAAAGTATTTTGTAGGACATCATCTAAAGGACATCTATAAAAACATCATATTTTAATTAATATTTTTAAAAATCAACCTTTGTACTAAAAGTCTTATTCATGTGAATCAAACATGTCATTTTTCAAATTGATCTAGTAGGCCTAATGATTATTCAAATTTAAAACCGTTAAATATATCGTATGCTAGTAATTAGAAATTCCTTGATTAGGGGTTTATAAATATTAGATTTGAAATTTGACATCTATGATCTACATGAATTGAATATTTAATCCAATAATTGGTTTTTTAAAATATTAATTTCACGTTGAGTTTTTTGGCAGGTCCTCTAACCTTATAATATAAAGTCCTATATAATGTTACAAATTAATTACAATATACTCATAATTTTAATCAAATACTAGTATATAGATGATTTCCTTCCCTATGCATCATTCTTTGTCCATTTGGTGAAAACTCAACCTTGAGTTTTGTAGTGTTGAAGCCATACAAATCTCGAGGAAACAAAATAAGCCAATTGCACTAACACGTGAAGCTTGAACTTTCTTTTATATCAAAAGGGAACAATGTCAAAGGAACATGTTTCACAAAGAGTTAGGTCAATTGCTGTCTCTTCCTCACCTTGTTTCACATGTGGTTTAACCTCAGTAACACAATTCTCAAACACTTCTTCTGCCAACTAACTTCTACAAGAGTTATACTTGTTTCATAAATGAAAACATTCTTTATGAATTGTGTTCTCGAATTGACTTCAAAAATATTGGAAAATTTCAATAATCAATTCATCACATTCATGATCCAACATCAAAGAATATAATCTGGCATTCCAGCCCTTACAACAACTTCTAGAATGGATATTCTCTTATAGAATGAGCATCTAAATTTTTCTCAAACAAATTTTCAAATGAGGAAACAACTAATTGAAAACCTTTAATTTATCATCTTCATATGGCGCCGTAATTCTTGTCAAAATTCACTTACATAAGCCGCAACTACAATTCTAACATCAACATTGAAATTATGGAAATGTTGCTCTTCAACCAAAGATTGCAATGACAGAAACAATGCATTTTCCCAGTATGGGCCTTGTGAGTTTCCCACTTTTGAAAAGAAATTCCATAATACATCATCTAATATAGGAAGAAGTTCATCAACTGAGGAAGGAGAGTCTAAAAGGGCATACCCTAATTCATTTTTCACACTTCAAAAGATATCATATTTTCATCACATAATGCTAGCTTTTAGATTCAATATTGAATATGATTATTAAAACCACTTCACCAGGCCAAAGTGATATCCATAGTGGTTTCCAAGTCATTACAAATGATATCAAAGCAACTCCTCATATCCTCTTGAATGATGATCAGACAAACCTCAATACAAGCAGAGTTTAGGCAAATCCCAAACTAACAAAGCACTACAGTAAGCTTGGGCTATTTGTGATTTGGAATGACTTGATGAGTACATCAAAGAGACAAATACAATGGAACAAAAGGCACTCTTGGCATGATTTATAAGGGCTAGCACCCCTTAATGAAACTGGACATGTTTTAAAACCATAAGGCCCACTTTGGCAAGACAAAGCAAACAATATCATCAAAATCATTACACTACTATTTTTTTTTTTTTTTGAAAAGCCAAATAAAAATAATTACAAAAATAATTATATTAAAAGGAAGTAGAAGGGGTACGTATACACCAACCCAACAAAAATCTAACAAAGTCACACTGCAGTACAAAGGTTGCTACACTAATACAAATTAATGCTTATATAGAAAAGGCTAAAACCCTAAATAGACTTCAATTCCTTGTAAACTCCAAATCAGAATATTTATTTAAAAGATATCAAGCATCTAATAATATAAACTACTAGATGAATGTTACAAATTAATTCCACAATTATAATAGAATCTTAAATATTAGATGATTTTCCTCTTTAATCATATCAATCCTTGCATGAGATCAAGTAAAAACATTCAACTATGACCAATCTATGGTTCAAGTTATCACTAAATTTATCATTCATGGTAGCTTATATTATTTACCATATGCAAATTCTAAAACTTATACCTCATCATGGCCAAGAACCCCCTGGTTCACATTTATCCTGCGATGTCTCCTTAGTAACTGCAATATAACACATTTGTTGAACAATGAGAGAAGCACCACTTCAAATTGAGAAAAAGAAAGGAAAAAAAAGACAAGCACGTGATCAAACACAGTAGAAAAGCTGGAAAAACCTGAATTACTGAGATACTACTCAAGCAACAAGAACAAAGATGTTAACAATGAAATTAAGAAGGAAAATTTAAAATTAGCATAAGAGAACAGAATCTACAACTCAAAACTCCTCCTTTAAATAGCATGAGGTATGTTGTTTAACCATTGCTAGAATTGTTAGGTTTGATATTTTTCTTTTATATACTAAGCCTTAAGAACCTATTGTTGATTTATTATTGTGATCACTCTTTATTTTATTTATAGTTCTGGACTTTTTGGAATTATTTTTTCATCATTAAACATGCTTTTCCGACATTTCCTAAAATCCCTACTATTCTCTCTCTTCCTGTAATCATTTTTGCTTTTCCCTTCTTTGTCATTCTATTTCTCTTTTCCTTTCTGTCTCCCATTATTTGTACCTATATTTGTTTTCCATTAATTATCTACTTTAGCTGTCAGAATTAAGATTTTTTTTTTGCTCTTTCCTAAAATGAGTAGTTACCTTTGACAATGGTATGGAGCTTATGCCACGGCATTTTATAACAACTATAGATTTACAAATTTGAAAACTCAAAAAAATGGAAAAAAACAGCAATTTATTGTTGCATATGTTAGCTTTATGTAATGTGAAACATAATTAAATCAACCCAAGAAATTATTTTTTCAAAGAACAATTCTTTAACCCCAGAAAAAAGAGATCTAAGTTCAAAATTGCTCAAACTTTACAAATCAATAATAAGAATAATTAAATGAGCCAAAACCTTAAAATCTTAAGCATGTCACCCCTTTTTCTTGACCTCTTCTTTTCCTTTCCTTTTATTCCCTAAGGGCCTATTTGGTTTGAGGGAAATGGAAAGAAGGGGAGGGAGGGAAATTGAAGGATATTTCTTACCCTCCCCTCCCTTCCCTTCCCCTCCCCTCCATTTCCCTAAAACCAAATAAAAGATGAACTTGCAAAAGCAATTATATTGAGGTACAAAACCAAGCCTCACCCCCTCATATAAAACCCAACACATAACTTGGAAGCAAAACTGATTTAAGATACCTGATTTATATAACTTAATCTGGAGACACCAGCTACTAACTTCGCCACATCATTGCCAAATTCGGCTTCTATACTGAGCAAAGTCTCACATGTGTCATCAACCACATCATGGAGTATCCCAGCCACAACTGTGTGAACAGCCTGCATCAGGCATCAGGCATCAGGCATCAGGCATTAGGATTTTATTGAAGGAATGAACTTGGGACAATGTTTTCAAGGAACCAAAGCAACAAGGAAAGACTACAACTAAGTATGCACAAAGTTACCAAACATGCAATATAATTATCAGAAATTGCCAATGTTGATCATTGCAATTAGACACAAACAATTATACCATGCTGCTAGTACATTCAATAAGCTGGGTAAACTAAAGACCTTTAATCTAGAATATTCCAACCCAATAGATGATAGAAGCTTACTCAACTTCTAATAGTTACAGAGATTTGTTGATAGAGTGACAGAACAGTCTAATTTAAAAGCAAAGAAAAGAATACATTACTAATGCAATATTTCTTCACATTCACAAAAAAGACCAAAAAAAAAAAAAAATCATGTAAACAAAAGAAACGTTCAAAAACAATTGAAAACTATTACTATCTACCCTTTCTTACCATCACCACATGAAGTACACAACTAACCCCTTTTTTCTTTGCTTAACTTAAAAACTTAAAAAAGATTATCTGATCCCCAAAGATTATCACCAAAAAAGAGGAGAATAAACACAAAAAATTGCAAATAGTGTTAGATTAGGCTTTTATAGGATTCCATACTCGTTGCCCGCTAGATGGAACCAACATGGCTAGGATTCTTCCTGTATGAATGCAGTGTGATAAATATGGGTCTCCTGTTTTGCGGAATTGTCCATGGTGAGCTCTTTTTGCAAATGCAATAGCCTTTTGCACCTGCCTTCACAAATTCAGGGTTTTAGTCCCAGAAAATGAGTACTTGCAATTGATGAGGCAAGTAGAGATAGCATAACTTCGGGTCTTTAAATATTGGACAGCCAGTTACATCTACTCCTTCGACTGTAAAAGAATCTGTTGGCAAGAAAAAAAAAAAAAACTGTAAAAGAATCTTCTCCACAAACAAACACAAACAATTGCTCCAAAAAAGAAAAAAAAAAAAAAGAAACAAAACCAAAAACAGCATATGCTTCCAAATGATCAAACGTTAAGAAGACCTGGTTGCTCCTCCAGTTTGGGCCACAAGAAGTCGACCTTGGTGGAGAGACAAGCACCCGAGGCGATGGCAACGGCTGTGACAGCAACGTGGGTGATGGTGGAGGTGATGGCGCCATGGATAGCGGGGACAGCACCAGAAGAAGCAGCGGCGATGGCGTTTAAAGAAACGGAAATAGTGAATTTGGTTGGGTAACACCTGAATTTTGCGGCAGCATGGGGATGGAATCGGAGAAGTGTAGAGGACTTGTGAGCGAGAAACATGGTAGATTGGGTAGACATTTGGTGAAAAATCAGTTAAAAAATGGAAACGGGATTTGGTGTGTGGCTATGAATCCGTTATTTCTTTGTGGGACAACCGGACAAGCTTTGCCGGGCCGTACCAGCAACAGCAACAGTGCAGAACCACGCAAATCAGTTTTTCTTTTTTTCTTTTTTCTGAGTGAATGAAGGGTTTTCTAGATACTGTAGAAAATTAAAAATATCATTATTAATTCTTATTCATGATTTTTTTTTTTTTGTTATTAGTATAAAATATCGCAGTATAATAAAAAATGTTTTCACAAAAAAGAAAAAAAATTCAATTATTAAACGTCACAGAAAATTGTGTGAAAAAGATTACTAAAAAATAATTTCCAATTATTTTCCTTTTTTGCTTAGATAAATGTGCGGTATGATGGTTTATAATATTAATTTTGCCTAATTAATTTATTAATATTTGTTCTTATTAATAATGTAAGGAATCTTAGAAGTAGAAGAAATAGTTAACTATTAACTTTATTATTATACTAAACACTCAAACACTTTTTAAATTCAGGGCATATAAAAAATATTTATTTTGTTTTTAATAATTTAATTAACATACAATATGTTTAGTTTAAGCAAAAAAAAAAAGGAGAATTTGTTATTCAATCAAACTAAGGTGTTTTGATAAAATCTAAATTTGATTGGATGAAAATTTTTTATTTCCCTCCCTTGTCTTCAACCAAACACACCTCTAAGTCTTGTTTGGTTGGGAAGGAAAGTTTCCCCTAATTTTTCTCCTCCTATTTTGTCAAACATCTCTACTAGGGCTTTACTAGCAAAATTTTGCACATTCCCATCTTTCACACCAATGTACCTATTTATGCTTCATTGACAAAGTTCAAGTCTTTACAAAATTTGTCAACTCAACTTAGACACAGATTCATATGTTTAGTTTGATGATGTCTTGGCAATAACATCGTCATCACTAACATCCTTGAAAGTAAAGAATTCCTAGCAATAACATCCTCAACATTAATGTCCCTAACAATGACAACGCTTTGGCAATGATATCCTCATCATTGATGTTTAGACATTAACATCCTTGGCATTAACATCTTCATCACTAGCATACCCTTATCATTGACACAAGTTTTTTACTAATTACCAACAATGGTTTCATTTGGTATTGGCTTCCTTCTTGTTGTCAACGTTCTCACCAATATCTTCTCCATGATCATCCTCATCTTTAAAACAAAAAAGATATCAAATTTTGATAAAATTATTGTCAAACAACAAAAAGTTCTACTTCGACAAAATTGATGCTATTCTACTTGTTAGGGAGTGCACAAGGGAGTCCAACAATACAAAGATAATAACAACAAGCACAAGTGCAATGTCAAGCATTGTCAAGTAATAAAGCGTATGATTTTGGCAAAGCATAGTTATGATAAGTGTTATCAATATGATACTACAACGATTGTCAAGCCACATGAAAGCGATAATGACAAGTTTAGCATTAAGAGTTGCTGTCAAACAACAAGAAGGTGGCAAATGAGTAGTCCAATATCAACAATTTTGTGAACGACAAGAGGCCCAATCTCAAAAGGTTCATATTATCACAAGTGCCAAACAATACTGTTAACAATGGCATGCTCACAAATTTGATGAATTTCACTCTAACATACAAACTGTCATTGTGTTCTCTTAACATTAACAATGACAAAACTCACTCATAATACTTCTTGTCACTCCTAAGTGTCCTAATGACAAACTTAACAATTTGATAGTCCTTCACTGATTTGCATTGTCAAATCTTAAAAAGGAGTTTCGTTATCTTTTCTCTTATTGTTATTCATAACATAATATCAATACTAACAAATTCAACACCCACATTGTTGATGGAAAAACATCATATTTGACAAAATCAATTTAAGCAAGCAATCTCTACATTTGCCGGCAATGTTAAAATCTTGAACTCACGTCAAAAAATTGTTTATATCAATGACAAGTCAAAAAGTGATGTGACTAACTTTGATGAAGAACATGGGGAATATGTTGTCAAGGATTGGGTTTGCTAGTCAATGTAACTCAAGGGAAGAGACTTTTGTATGTCAAAATCTGCAACTAAAGCTTTTGATGATGTCGGGGTTATCAAACTGCAGATGATGTTTCAACAGAGCAACGAAGTCAGATTGTCTTATGGCTCGCTAGTTTAGATGTCAGAGCTAGCTTGCTTGCTTAACATCCTTAACAAAGCAAAGAAAAATCCCCTCCTTGTAGAATGAACAACAATCATCATGGAAAATTAAAGACAATAAGATAATTGCACCTTCATATTACACTGTGCATGCTATAAACTCCCTTCTTTGCATTTCTTAATCCATTTACACATAGATCAACAAAAGAGGAAAGATTACAAGAAGATGGTGAAAGAAGAAGTGACAAATTTTGAAAAGCTTGCCACTAAAGTGAAACATTGTTTCTGCGAAAGGATCCTTTAACATACAAGCTCACTTCATGAGGAAGATGGTGAAAAAGCTTCCTATTTTGGCAAAGCCAGTGAAACGTATGTCATGAAAGCCCGAAAAAGAGCGTGGATGATGCATTGGCACCATCATCTTGGAGCTTTTGCTAAGATCTACAAATTTCATGGAATATATCATAGGTTTTAGAAGGATTTGGTAGCTAAATGCGAAAAATTATTAAAGAAAAATGCCTATTAAGTTGCACTTCTTAGATTTTAACTTAAAACATTGCTAACATAGACAATTGAAGAAAAAATTATTGTTGTTAAAAGAAAATACATAACGATAGGGATGCAACTAAGGGTAAATGTACAATAATAAGATAAATATAACAACCAAATGTGAGTCGACAAACTAAGCAAAGTTATGACATATAATTTTAATAACAAAACCGATTAGAATGTCAATACAAGATTAACAACTTTAAAACTAAAATATAGAATCCCAAAAAATAAAAATAAAAATAAATGAAATAACAGTAAGTTAAAAAGGATTAACGGAATAATGCCAACGAACTTCGTGATTTTACGTTATGAAATGAAAATATTTCCAACTTTTCTAGATTATAAAAATCATTTTTTGTACATAGTATTATTTACTTATAATAAGAGATTAATTTAGAATTATAATTCAGTAAGTGTACTTTTATGTTAACAATTACTTTAAAAAGAAACTATAAACCCTAATTTGGCCCCTAGTTTGTGTATGTCTATATGATTAAGTACCATTTACAAAAAATTCTTATTACCATTACTTACTCATTTATCTTTATACTAAAAATAATTAAAATTTATATCACGAATTTTTATATTAAAAAGCTAATTATCTTTAAAAAATTAAAATAAAATATATATAAATCTTACATTTATA